TTCCTCAGCACATGTGGCAGAAATCAGCACTTCACAAGGACGACAGTGGGGAAATGGTATGCATGCTGAGTTTCAAAGCAACATCAACAGGAACGGATGTGCCCATCAACCTTCTCGCTGAAGCCTGAGGATAATAACGCTGCATTTATTGAAAGAGAAAAGAGCAGCTTTGGCATTCTCAAATTTCGCCAGAACTACTCTGGACATAAAAATGCAACACGCAGTCCCCAAAATACACAATAGGTTTATCCATACAATTGCCACCACATTTTCATCGGCTAAAAGCAGCTCAGATCATATTTCAGGGAAGATATTTTCATTGTGCCAATAAAGCAGCGCCTAATTTCATCCTCCCCTGAATGGAGTGGTCATTTATGGGGTTTCAGACAGACCCCTGCGAGTCACTAATGGAGAGGCATGTGTCATCCGATATGGGCAGGGCCTTTCATTCAGATTCCAGGAGCAACTGTCAGCCCACCCCTCATCTCTCTCGCTTTCTCTGGTGTAGTACATTAGAGTAATTAAGTCTGCCGGCAGTTGTCTCTGCTCCTCTAGCTAAAGCCCCAGTCATGATGTATGTATCCTCTCAGTTTCACAGAGGGAAACAGGATTCTCAGTGCATGGATTATTAGGCTGTTTCACATATCAATACAGCTTGCTGCATGCTTACAGAAATCAAGCCGACAGAAATCTTTTTTTGAAGATGACATTGGGGAAAAAAAGAGATTCTGAAGTCAATCAATTAAAATCTCTACTCATTATCACTGCTTATCACTAAAGACTGCATGAAATGGAAATTTCTGTTTCTAACTGCTTCTTATTGTGAACAATTCATCCATGCATGTTTTATTTATTTTTATTTACCTTGTCATAATCAATATGTCATAACTTAATTTTCCGTATGTGACGTATGCCAGATTCCTCCAATCATTTATTCAGCTAAACCCCGCCCTTTTCTTACAGTTAACCACAAGCTCCGCCTCTGTCAAACAACAACTGATGAACAGAACCAAGTCCCATTTTTTCTACATTTTTGAAAATCAGTTTCAATCAGGTGTACATCACAATACAGAAGTAATGATCTGCCACTACTTCCATTGCATCATAACGAAGCCATCATTCATCTCTCTCTCTCTCTCTCAACATTTTTTCAAGTGTAATGCATTACACAAGGGAATACTTGCTAAATTTAATTCAGTCTACAATATACTGAAATGTTGCAAATAACTATATTGTTTAAAGAAAGCACCAGCACAGCAAAAAAAAAAAAAAAAAGTTAGGAGAATCAGAGAAATGATTCAGAGAGAAAAAAAATCCACCACTGTTCGGTATGCAAATGAATGCAAGAAAACACACCATTCACAAAGTAGTATGCAAATGATCAAAAACCTAATGACTTTTTAGTTAAAGGGGTCATATGATGCGATTTAAATTTTTCCTTTCTCTTTGAAGTGTTACAAGCTCTTGCTGCATAAAGAAGATCTGTAAAGTTGCAAAGACTAAAGTCTCAAATCCAAAGAGATATTCTTTATAAAAGTTAAGAGTCAACCACGCCTACCTAAAACGGCTCGTTCTAACACGCCCCCACATGTCTACGTCACGATGTGGGAAGATTTGCATAACGCCACCCAAATGTTCACGCAAAGAAAGAAGGCGTAACTTTTATTCTCGCTGTAGTATTGTTGCTGTGTTGCTATTGTTATTGTTGTCGTGAAGACGCTGTGTGTTTCGTTGTGAAAGCCAAACTACTTTGTTTGGCGATATCCGCTTCGTCATGCCTGGAGCTGATCCGTGCTGGTCGCTGAGGAAATAAATGTTATTTTGAGCAACATCACATGACCCCTTTAAACTTGCAAGCACTGTCTAAATTTCAAATGAAAGCGGAGTTGTTTGATTTTGTGGAGCTTTTAAAACAGCATCTGAATTTCTTTCTACACCTTATTTTGCAACACGGAAGCAAGGTATTTTCTTTGAATGTGCGAGACTTTCGATTTATTAGCTGCTATAGGTAAATGGTAAAACTATTTGCGCTACAAATCAACGTGTTTATGATTCCGATAGTTGAAATAATATTATAGGAAATACCAGTTTGCAATATCAAGCAGCCTTAACAAACTGATTCACGACTTCCGATTCATTAGGCTACATAACTAAAATAATAACAAAGTGCAGTAAACAGTAACAAAACTATTTGCGCTACAAACCAGTGTGTTTATGAATATGAGAGTAACTTAAATTAATACTATAGCAAATACTAGTTCGCAGTAGCCTATCTTGCAGCATAAGGAACTGTTTTGTATTGCTAAAATAACCGGAAACGGATGACACGGGTTTCGCTCACTATTATGAATGGAGCGGTTAATATAAAACCCGGACTGGATTTCCAACAAAGCGATGCGTTCAGCAGAAGGGAAATCGCTGTAAGTCTATTCCATTCTTATTCAGTGATCCAGGCCCAGATTTTATTCTGTGCTGACTGCTTCTTTAGACCAGACGCAAAGCTACTGTTTTGGCTTCTTTTCGGTCAATTTTAGTGGTAGATGAAATATACAAAAAAAAGCGGATTTCTGTCTTAAACGTAAGTTACTCGATATTATTACTTGTTTGTAGGTCTACTGTAGTCACAATCGTGCTGTAGTGCGCAATATCAGCACTACTACCGACTAGCGGCCTCGTGCCTATTTTCAAATCGCAGTCGTGGTTAAATACAGTACGCGACATACTGTACAGTGTACACAGACACGCACATTAGATGAATAGCATATTTTGTAACTCAGTACCTCAAAGAAAAAGAGACAAGTTGTTTTTAAATTAGGCATGTAAACCACTGCACTAAGTGTAAAAGCCATGAAAGAGAAACCTATTTCTGTGAGCGCATGTGTGCTGCTGGATGCTGTTCACCGCTGGATGTCATACCGCTATCCGCTGTACCAATTACACCACGGCGAAATATAGCAACAAAACGATATGCGTTTTAACAAATACATTTTTAAATGAAAAAACAGCCTTATTTTAAAAACACCGTTTAAATGTGCTATAGGTAGGCTTCGCACTGTAAATGAAATTGCAAGAGAAGAGCGGAGCTTGGGATGTTTTGCAGGTGTGGCTCCGTTCACTCATTATGAGGGCCAGCGGCGCACTGGCCTGCCCACTAAATCAAGAATAGTTGCTATACTCACTCCATAGTGTCCCAATGCGGTTTCCCTCAAATTTCAGGTGAATTGTCCCGGGTGAAGTGTTAGTTTTTTTTCTCAGAGGCGCAGCACCATCAGTGTCAGCCCTGTGTCTTCTCCCTGTGTGTGAGCAGTGAGACCGGGAGCTGCTGCTGCTGGCGTCCCTCCCCTGAATATGCCTCTCTATCAGACCAGCGCAACCCGGAAAATACAGTCCACGTCCCTGTCAATGAGCTCTAAACATATTCACAATGTAGCATCTCTTCATCAACTCTCTGAGAGTGTCCGGTTTCTCAGAGATCTGAGTTTGTGTGTATGCGCATCTAATGATGTTTTATATTAAAGGATATTTGGCCCAGTCTGATAATTAAGGGGAGATTTGTCACCCTCTCATGGACATAGAAGATACTACGAGTCTATGTAAATGTGCGTTGGCATCATGATGCAAATCATTCCCAGAATATATCGTTTTTTGTAATAATGTAAATGTAGATAAAGAGAACATGAGATTCGGTTGATATCAAAACTCACAACCAGGGTTATTATAGTTAATTAAAACCATTAAAATATTTTCATTTGTTAAAAAAATTAAGTAGCCTATATCAAATAAAAAATATATAATTTTGTATTTATTAATTTAGACTTATTTCTGCTAGTTTTTAAGGCAACATTTCAATTTTTTTTTGTTTTAGTTTAACTTGATGTGCTAAAATAGCCTAACTACAACAAACTGAAATAAAAATGAATGAAAATTATAGAAGCATATTTTAAAGTGACAAAAACGCATTTTAAACAAAATTACACAGAATAACTTTAACAAAAATGATAATGATAACAGAAAATATAAAAATCAAATCAAAATATTAAGAAAAACTGTCTCAGTGATACTAAAATAGCACTGCTCCCAAATTGGCTTTAATTATGTTAACTATCTGTTATCTGTAGCATAATCTAATGCACTTCTGCTGCGACATTATTGAATGACACATTAACTTTTCAACCCTTTAATTAAGAAGAGGAAATAATATTCCTTGTGTATGTGTGCATGTACAGAACTGCTCATAATTAATAATTTATGTACCCCTTGCACAAATGGAAATGTGCACAAATATTTATGCACAAATAAATTTAGGGGATATATCTAAATATTTACATGTAATATGTTATCTATATACAGAGAGAAAGATGTTATGCAGCTCGAAAAAGTGTTTTATTATTATTATATAGCCTATAGTATGTTATTATTTTTTATTATTTATTTTTAATATTTTATTGCTCCTATTTTTAAATTAAGTATAAATAAAAAAAACTGAATAATAAATAAATGTAAAAAAAAAAAAAAAAATTAATCTTTTTATGTCATTTTTGGTTTTCTAAAATTGCAGTGATTATTTTATGCAAGTTATGGTGTGTATTGAGGAGAATTAGTCTTTGTGAGTTAACCTGTATGTTATTTGGAGATTATATCATGCCAGTCATGTTGTGTGTCAGGTAGGCAGCCTGTAGATGGAGTACATGACCAGCTCTTGCTGTACATACTGTACATTGCCATATAGGACTGTCTATTCATTATGAAATGGATCATAAATCATTGAAATATATACACAGTGTTAATAAGCTGAGCATGATTTTGCCCTCCTCACCAACTTGGCTTTCTGAAACAGCAGTAAAGCTTTATCTGTATGACTTCCTATCAGAAATATTCAAATGCATAAGCACTCTGAATCTCACTTTTATGTTCGAAGCAGTAAGAGAATGGCTTTTCTTCTCTTCTTGAAGGATTCCAGCCCACACAGCTCCACCCTGATGCTCCTGCAGCCAGTCCTCACGCACACGGAGCCGCCTCACTGGCCTGCCAGTTGCCGTGGTAACTTGACATGTCTCCATTTGCTGTGATCAATGGAAATGTTGCCGTCTCATGGGGATTGGAGGGCTGCCAGCTCTCGGAGTGCAGCGTAACTCTCTCTCCCTCGCGCTCCGAGACGGGGAAGACACAAAGGAAGGAATGGAGGCAGAGGGAAGCGGTGGGGTGGAGGAGGTGGGTGTGAAATGCCATCTGAGTGGTTTCTTGGCCTCTGCGGTCAGGGTTAAATGATCACTCAGGAGGCAGATCATTTCATTTGAGTGCGCTGGTTCGGTAATAACACAAAACAATCAGTTCGAGTGACGCTCCGGCGATGTGGAATAAGGGATTTTCCTCAAATCATCATCCTTCCAGATTTTGCTGAGTCTAAATTTCTGTCAGGAGGAGAGGGGGCTGAAATGGCTGCGGAGGCTCTGTGTGTGTGTGTGTGGAGGAGGTTTTGATTTCAGCATGATGCTGTTTGTCACACCAACAATGTGAAAAGAACAGTCAGATTTAAAGGGTTAGTTCACCCAAAAATGAAAATTTTGTCATTAATTACTCACCCTCATGTCGTTTCAAACCCGTAAGACCTTCGTTCATCTTCGGAACACAAATTAAGATATTTTTGATGGAATCTGAGAGCTTTCTGACCCTGCATAGACAGCAACGCAACTGAAATGTTCCCAAGTCCAGAAACGTAGCAAGGAGATCTGTAAAATAAACATGTGACATCAGTGGTTCATCCGCAATTATACGAAGCTACGAGAATACTTTTTGTGTGCAAAAGAAAAAAAAAACGACTTTATTCAACAATTCGTCTCCTCCGCATCACCCTGGTGCCATTTTGGAGAATATCCGCTGGACGTAAAACAACGTATGCTGTTCTGTGTCAGCTGCGTCACGCCGGATCTTCTTTCCTACGTTGTTGTGATTTGATCTGAACAAAAACAACGTATCCGCGTGGCGCAGCTGACAAAGTATTCTCGTAGCTTCGGTTAGTTTCAAAATGACGGTTGAAGCCCTGATGTCACATGGATTATTTTACAGATCTCCTTGCTACGTTTCTGGACTTGGGAACATTTCAGTTGCGTTGCTGTCTATGCAGGGTCAGACAGCTCTCAGATTCCATCAAAAATATCTTATTTTGTGTTCCAAAGATGAACGAAGGTCTTACGGATTTGAAACGACATGAGGGTGAGTAATTAATGACAGAATTTTCATTTTTGGGTGAACTATCCCTTTAAGGTATTATTTGTTATTCAATAGATCTGTGAAACATGGCTAGTGTGAAATTTAACATAACATGCTTACATAAGACACTGTCTAGTGATTATCACATATAGAGGACTGTAGTGAGTCTACATTCATCCATTCTACAAATGCAAGCTTAAAGATTTTAATCGTAATGGGAGTTTTGGTCCGCAAGGCAGACAGATATTAAAAATATATTACAAATTAATTTAAAATACATATTTGCTGTTGAAGTTTCATATACTTCTAGGTAAAATATCAAGTGCTGCAAACTCGTCAAAATTCACAGTTTTGAATCCAAAATATATAACTGAGAATGTATTGGTTTTAGTACAAGCTTAATTCAATTTATATGTAAGGATGCTCAAACAGTTTTTTATTTTTACTGAGTGTAATAATTATATATATATATATATATATATATATATACGCACATACAGCATATATTTTGGAAATATTTACATG